GTAGCAAAATCCTCACTTGGAATTCCCAGCAACCGATACCCGTGATGGAAATTAATGGAACCGCGGAAGTCAATAATTACCCCGACAGGTTTTTACCCACCCATATCTCGGATACAAGAAACCCTAATCGGCAAAATCGATCGCACCCAGTCTGGAGTTTTTCCTTTTGGCTGGGGCAACGGAGCCTGCCCGCCACGCCGAAAAGCAGCTTCCCGCAGACGCGGGATCGCATCCTGCGTGGATTTTCCGCATGCAGGTGCGGTTTCCGGCCCTGACCATCACCGATAAGCGGTCAGTACCCCGGGGATCCGGAATCCGCGGAATCGGGCCGAATTTCCGGCAGACGGTGAATCTCCGGGCTTCCGGCAGCGCCGCGTGCCGCGACCTCCTATCTCCTATCTTCGGGAGAGGGAATCATCGATTATCGGCCGACGCGGTGGGGTGCTCGAATTTCGCATTTCCCGTTGAGAGAGCCATTCGACGTTGCCCCGACGTCAAATCGCCCCTGGAAGGAGTACATCCGACGCGAATGGCTGACGGAGAAATTCTAAAGAAAGTCCCCAGGTCGACGGGGGGCCCCGATAAATCGCGGCCGTCTCGCGGACGTCAACCCCGCCCGAGGAGTCGAGGCTCCGATAAATCGATAAATCGAACGCACGCGTAACGAGATATCGTCCCCTAGGGTCAGCTGGCCGTGCACTTCCGGTCCGGTGCACCCTTTCCCGCTGCACCTATTGCCTAGCAAAGGAGACCGACCGGGTCGAAATCGCTTTGAAGACCGCCCATCGAAACACGGAGTTGGCACGATTCTCTCCCCGCGAGAAAAAAAAAAGGATTCTCGGGGAAAAGAGGGGAAACTAACGCGAAACACCCAATCCGGAGAAGACCCGGTCTTTTTCTATCATTTTTTTGCGGATGACATTACATGGGTCGAGTGAAGTATTCGGGGGCTTGATAACGTCTGTCTTGACAAAAATATGTACCATCGATATCTAGGGTGTTATGGAAATTGTGGACACGGTTTATACGGTGCTACCCTCGTAGAAAATGTAGTCGAAAAGTCTTGCGCTACCTTTTTCTTTATCTACAGTGCGCGGTTTACTTGCAATAATGAATTGAAAAGCCAATCGGTCGATAAATCAAATGCATAACAGCCGCACTCTGTTGTTTGCGACGTAGGGATAAGATAACATACGACGGGCTCTTCTATTCTCGTTCCGCTATTCGACGCATCTAGTTGAACATTTTTTCATTAATTATTACAGGTAAACCGCACCTTGTATATATTTCCATGTGGAACCGCACCTGACAGACAGTGAATGGCCAACAATTTTGTCGGTCGGAATGTTTGCGATAGATTTTTATCGGGCACCACGCACGAACGAGTGAAAAGACGAAAGGAAGAATTTATTATGAACATTCGACAAAATTGTCATCGACTATCTATTCTGTGTGATGGCCTCAAATTTAAGGCGCACGGTGACTCGAATTCCATTCTTTACAACATTAACCTCCTTCAACCTTGCGATTTTTACGTCAAACACCCATACATCGACATATTTCAAGTCTTATTTGATTTTTCCTTCCTGGTAAATCCTGAAGCATCTTAATATCCGTACAATTTCATTCCGACCAGAGAATTTATTTACAAATTGTAAAATTCATACAAATGTATACGTTGCAAATTTACAACCCAATAGTTACTTAATATCGTGTTATCTACAAATGTTATATTACATCGGTTACTTCTTTGTGTGAAAAAGAAATAGAATTGCATAGGATTAAAATACACTTACATATAGATGATCCGCATGGAAAGCCCGTACTTCCGACAGATTGTCCGATCCATTGGAGCGATCGCGCACAAATGAACGGCAACTCGAAAGACTCGGGAGCCTCGGTCGTGGAGTAAATAAGCCTCGGAAGTAAATAAACAAATAAATGGTACCGCCCAAGCGGCAATGGATCGCATTCCATCAGACTCTCCGGCATTCGAATCTCTTTGCGTCGCCCCCCCGCCCCGCAATTTCGCGTCCCGCCCCGGGCGAAATAACAGACCTTGGAGCGGCCCGCGACAGGGCAGGGGGTGGACTTGGACTTTAGGGGACGCCGTTCCATAAGGCGGAAAATCGCCCCGCGAATCCGCCGGACGAGGAGAATTCCGAGCGTAATAAGCGAATACCGCAAGTCCAAGCTCCGCGAGATATTACACCGAAACACGGGAAACGCCGCGAGCCGCTCGGATGGCGAAAACGCGCGGTTTCGTTTCGTCGCTTTTGGATTTATCCCCCCCCGCGAGGGCATTCAAAGAGATGAAAATTCTTTGGACCCCGTCGAGCGAGCCGGTCGAGAAAGAAATACGTCCGTTGCCGGAGAATGCACGAGAGCCGATTCAAGGTACTCTACCTTCTAGGAAATGAAGGAGAGATTTATGCCAACGGCGAGTTGTGCCGGTTGGATATTAGCGCGACCAGATGATGGACCGACTCGTTCGGTTTATTAGTTTAACGGCAGACGGTCCATCTCGCGGCCGACCCAGAAATGCATCATCAGGAGTCCTCGGTGTCCGGGTAGAAGTTGAAATCCACGCCACGAAACCTCACCGTTAGGTGGAAGCCGTCGCGGCTCTGGCTGGCCGTCCCGCCGAGAGAAATAAATCGAGAAACCGATCGAGATAACGAAAGTTATAATTTCAAACTGGGCGAGGCGGAGAGCTCGATGAAAATTGAGAAGAGAGATGGGAGGGGCCGATTCTCGGTCGCGAAGCGACAGGGACCGGCGAGGGTGTATCGGATTCACACCTAGTGCAACGTCTATGCAACGTCGATGCGAGATCGATGCAACGTTGATGCAACGTCGATGCAACGTCGATGCAACACCGATGCGAGGTCGGTACAACGACGGGAGGGAACTCGGCAAACTCGAGGAAGTCAACGAGAGCTGATTGATCAAACGTGGGCGAGAGTCGGGAAGTCGAGCGACCGTGAAACTCGGCGCAAGGTGTTGGGTCCACAAAATCCGCGTCGAATTTTGCCGAAGGCCATGAACGGACAGGTGGGAGGAGGCCGACGGGGGGAAATTAACAGGAGAGACCCAATTCGTCCAGGAAGGCTCCTCTCGCCGTCTGGTCTTTGCTCGGAGAGGGCAAATACTTAGCGCGGCATACGGAGGGACGATGCAACTGCACTCCCGGTGGCACGACTGTTTACCTTGCAGCGGATGCATCTGGACGTATATGTCGGCACGAGCGGCGGCAATTAAGTCGGCAGGAGTCACTCGTAATGCCGACATAGACTTCGGCGCACGGACCCGCGATGCATACAAAGTTCGCGACGGCAAAGCAACCGTTGTTTACTTACAGGCAACTGCACCCTGGGGTTGCCCGAGGACGCGTCTCTCCAGCCGAGGGAGAGAGAAACAGGGAGCTATTCTCCGCGAGGACGTCGAAAACAAGCCCCGGGAAAACCCCTCCAGAAATGCGCGCGTTTCAATTATGCACTTCTTTGCCGGAGATGCACCCTGAGTCGACTCCGGAACGAGGCTGTTCCCCGCCTTAACGAGGTTAATTCATAACGCGCGTTTAAGAAACCATCCGGATGAAGAGGGTACGTTTGCACCTAACCACAACGTGGACGCCCTATTAAAACTATTTATTCGAAATATAGCATAAACATAATCGAATTGTTTCCCAAAATACAATATACGCGATCGCGTTCAGAACTCTCTCGTACAAGTATTCGAACTTCAGTAGGCGCGTATATTAAATTTGGAAATCATTTGCATGTTAACATTCGATAACATATGTAAAAATCCATGTACAATCGTAAACGAAGGTACACGTACGAGGGTAGGGTTATCATAATACACGTATACGAAAGCTGAGATGCGTTTTATATACCGATTTCCAATCGCGTGCACATATCTAATTGCATTCCTTCGTAGAAATGCGCGCCATTGCAAATGTATCAACATTTCTGCTGATCTTAAATCTCCCCCTACCGTCTATTTAAACTCTTGAATACTTCCCTGCGACCTCTCCCTCAGAAATGGCGTTCTCCGAAGTACGGTATACCTTGGTTCGATTTCCTTTCTGGTTTTGGTACAAACTCGCATTCGAAAACGTTCGAAATGTCGAACCATTGTTCCCAGTGCAGCAATTCCTCGTCGATCGGTCGATCCACAAAGTAGCCAAGGGGAACTCTTCGACGTTCCAATTTTGTCGAGCCCCCGGAAGAGTCCGAGACCTCCTCGACGCCAAAGAGGACGTCGAAGAGGACGCCCAAGAGAACGCCGAGAGTCTTATCCATCGTAGAGTCGCCGCGCCTCTCTAGAGCGCTCCGTGTGCGATGCAAATTAGCCCGGCCCGATGCGTCCCGGGCCCGCGAAGAAGTCATCTTATTTCCCGTGGAAGCTCGGTGCATCGACTCCGAAAGAAGGCGGCGCCCCAACAGAAGCATCCCCGAGAAGTACGCGGCGAAATGACACGAAACAAGAGGATACAAGGCGAGGCGGGTCGCGGTCTCGTAGTTCGTTTTCGGATTCCCCGGGCGAACAATTTGCCATTTCCCTTATTACCAGCGGGGCGATTCCGCATTCGGGCAGTTTGCGCGTCCCCGCCGATACCCCGGGAGGTTACGAGCAAGTGATTTTATTTAACGGCGCACTCGCGCGCCCGCCCGAGCGAACGCGCAGTACATTAACGGGGGGCCGAGGAAGCGCCGCGGAACTTCCGCGAGGAAGCCGCTCCCCCGGGTAAACGGCGTTCCTGCATTCGCAAACAGTGAAACGCGTCCCGGTAGACGCGTGATCAAAGAAACGTAAGCGGCACTTATCGCGATCATTACGACGTCATTTCGCGGGACGGCGCGCTCCCCGTGTAATCCCGGAGTGCGCGGCCGTGTACCCCGGCGTGCCGGGTGTTGCTAAACACCGTGATAAAAGCTTTTATATCGCGTGCTGCCCGTCGGGAAGGGTGCAATTGAACGAGGCTCGCTTTACAAACGGTACGTTGGCTTTCCTTTATTTCACTGTACTCCATCTTATTACTGGCTGAGAGGAAGAGTCTAGACATAAAGTAAGTAAAAAACACGAATTGTAAAACCGCAACGAATAGTTCCACCAACGTAGAGGGGGGACAGTCTCTCTTCTGCCGAATCGCACATTCGAGATGGCCCTTCCGTCCCCCGGCCCTCTCGAGCCAGGGCCACGCGCGAAGTCCGCGGAATCCGTTCGTGGTCCACTTTCGGCTCCGTTTGCCCGCACTCGCCGCTCCGGTTTCGCGCCCGGATCGCCAGTCGCAGGATCGGATGGAACGTCGTCCTCGAAGCCGGTTTTGCCGAGGAGCTCGAAACGCGTCACCCCGTGCCGGTTAAAACGTTTACAGTGGGATGCGGCGGCATACGCGGCGAAAACGCACAGGGTGACGCGTTTCGTTTACATACACAGGCGTTATCGCCGGTCTTGCGGGAAACGCACTTTCTGACAAATGGACTCTGCCGCGACTTTTCGCAGATCGGCGCGTTTGCGGACAATGTACATCGAGTTCGACAAATGCCTCGTGGAGTTCGATTACTCTAGCGATTAGAAAATGGTACTCGGCGGGACGATTGGCACCAGAGGTGGGTACGATGGTGGACACGAGGGCCACCCTTTGTACACAAGTGGCACCGTAGGCACCCGGGAGGCACTCGGGTCCACGAGGGTATCGGTAGGATTCTGGCCGACTCGAGGACGATGCATCCTCTGTGGACTCGTGGTTGCGACGACGCGCACAAAGTGCAACCAGGCGTCTCCCTCGGAGAACGTCGCGAGGCCTCGAAGGGATCTCGCGAGCGATCGCGACGTTCCCATGGGGGAGCGTCGCGACGCAGCTCTCGTCCTCGCCGACGCTCTTACGTCTAGTCTAGCACGTCGGATCGCTATCACAGTTTTCGTTCGTTCGCCTCGGCTGTATCGACTCCTGCCGATCTCGGGGCGGTCCGGGTCGCGATCGACGAAGAAGATTCGACGGTAATCGCGACGGATTTCGAGCACTTCGCTCAACATCTAGTCTTCTGACTCGACTTTCGAATGAGAATTCAAGCGGGAAGGCGAACGCGTTTGCCCAGGACGAGTCAAGTACGTTATCGAGTCGAGCTACTCGAGTTCGAAAATATCCCCCACTCGAGTTTGAATTCAAGTCGGGGACTGGGTACCGCATACATTCGGCGCAGCGAATCGATTTTATTGCGAGTTGGCGAGGAAAACGGTAAGAATAAACGAATAACGAGTAGGTAACTCAGGTTTCGCGTTCCCACTTGAAAGTCCCATTCGTTCGTCCCGATAACTCGAGGTACAATAATCGAGTTGATTCGGATGTAACGAGTCGAAATCCTCGACTCGTCGCGTCCCTAACAAAGGACCGGGCTGCTCGATCCTTGAAAGAAGGTTCCAAGGCACGCACTTCGGGTTTCCGATCGAGCGTCGCGGCCAAATTACGCACTTCCACCCTTTTGGGCATACCCGTCGATCGCAACCAGCGGCTCTGTAGGCGCCGCGAGAGGCAGGAAATCGCGCGACCGGAAATGGAGGTTCCACGAGACGATCATCCGGGTTCGTCGTCGAGGGCGAGACGATCGATCATCGGGATCGATCCCGCGAGCCGAGGCGCGCATTCCTTGCTTCCCCCCCGACAAGGAAAGATGGGCGCCGGAAGGGAAGCCGGGATACCCCTGGGTCCATTCTCGTCCTTCGGGACGTTAGGGACACGCCGCACGTTCCCACCGCCTCCACTTTTCGGCAGCGAGGCTTCCCCGGCGATTCCGCTCCACGCATTTTACAAACGGCGCGTCGCAGAAGACAAACGGTTCGTCGCAGCCCGGCGTCTCTTGCCTCTGTCGGTCGACGGCCACGGAAAGCGAGGAAACGAGGAAACGCCAAAGCGTTCCGGGAGCCCGGTCCCTTTGTCTCCTTTCCTCGGACGGCTCGCTTCGACGTGCGTATCGCGGCGGAGAAACACAACATTTACGACAACTAGGGATGGCGTGCTTCCGTCGAGGCACGCGAGGAACCTCGCCCCATCGACGCACACGAGGAGAAGAACGACCATCGGCTCGGATGCTCGTTTCTCGGGATTCCTCTTTCCGCCGAATATTCCTACTTGACGAAGGAGACGCCTTCGGAGCCTAAAACCCGACTCTCCTCTTCGTCGACGGGGACGCAAAGGACCTGCCTTGGGAAGAGCGGCGAGCGCGACCTCTCTATCTTACATGTATACCCGCGTATGTACACGAGGGGCCGAGTCAACTCCGGGCCAAGTTAAACGGTGCAATTTCCGAGTTGGTGCGAGTATTCGATTAATGCCGGAGACACGGTGGAACTACAGCCTAGAAACACACCGAAGAGAGCCTAACACGGGGACGCGTTTGCCTCGTGCCGGACGTTCGCGCGTTCCGACGCCTTTGAAATCCCAAGGAGAAGGACGAGGTCGGCACATCCCACGCCAAGGTGCCAAGGACTGTAAAGAATAAACTGGAACGATAGGACTGTTACGATAAAATCTGTCGCCTTGGCCGGAAATCCGGTCCCGCGTTTCGGGGGATGACGCTCAAGACGCATCGGTAAACCCGGCGGCGGCATGGCGGATTTTCAGCCGGCATCAACAAATTTCACCCTAACGAAAGTGGTATATCCCAGTATACCCCAAAGTCGTAAGCCTAATTCGCGATCGTAGGCGCATCTCGGGGGAGAAATCGACTCTTTCGCTCTGTGTGAAGTTTAGTCTCTGGATCGCGAAACGTCGTACAGGTCGCAAGACGCGAATAGGGACCTCGAAAAGTCGGCAAAGTCGCGTAGGGAAATTGGCGTCGTCTCTCGATTTCGATCGTTTAACGTTAACGGCGAGCTCGGATGGTGGGAAGGACGGACGGGAAAGATGCAACGTGCTGGCGAAAAGACACTCGCCATGACGTTCCCGCTAGAAACGTGGCCCCGCTTTTGGCTGGCCACCGGTAACCCATCGGGATGTAACTTTGCATGAGTATGAATGTGCCTTTCAGTTCGGAGCCTCCGTCAGACATCAAACATGCTTTGCATTTGACTGCCTGAGATTCGTTACCGCGAAGTTCCGACCAGGGACACATTTCCATAACACCCGCGAATAAAAGGGAGCGGCCAGATCGAAGGCTTTGACCGCGTTTTGCAAACGGCCCGGAATTTCTAATGAAACAATCCTACACCAATCCTTTCATCGGCGTCTTCCCGTTAATGCAGCCAGAATCACTTTCCAGGATTAACGGAAAGAGCCGTATTAATGCACACATTGGAGCAATTGTAACTCCCAATGTCGAGCCATCAGCGATCGATCTTTCCCGCTGCAACCTTTTCGTCGCTTGCAACCCTTTTTCCGAAATCAAAGCACCTTCGATGTGAAGTAAAAGCGTCTGCACCCTCTAAGCGAAAAACTAACTTTCCAGGGGAAATTAATTCCTTGCGGTAATCTAAATGTCTCTTGCCAAACAAATTTCTTGGCGCCAGTAAAATCGATTTTGTAAGAATCCTCAATGTTGCAAACCACACAATGACAAGTTGACACCTAATGAAAATGATTTTGCGAAATGAATTCCATATACAAAACATTAATCCGAAGTAGAGAGAATGTTAATAAAAATTACATCTCCTTTCGGACTGACTATTGTGGTGAACACAAGCGATCTAGAATTTCATATAACGTAAATAATAATGCCGAATAAATAATGTTTGAAGTTAATGCAAGAACGCGTTTACCACTACCTGGCCGAGGTCTGGGAGAAAACATCGGACATAATAGTAATTCTATTAAACTCTAGTTTGTTACAAGAACATTATTCATCCTTTCAAAGCCTTTCACTGGCTGAAGCAAGTTATGCAGTTCAGAAAATGTAACTGTTACTGTTTGTAATTTGCTTTAATTTTATTCTATCCCCTCTGTCGACAATAGGCCAGTAACGATCTATTCGATGCAAGAATTTATTTATTTTCTTTTTTTTTCTAGAAAATGATTTTTTCGCCCAGTGCACATGTGACGCTCTCCCGTTCCCCATCTCGAGCTCTGCTCGTCCGGGCCGTCTCGACGTGCCTCCACGCCGGCATATTTAAAGGTAAATCTGCGAGCTATCTGCACGGTAAATACGGTACGCAATCGGCCATGAGTGGTACGTGGAGTGAAATTACGGGTCTCGCGGATAAGAGCGATATGTGATTTGAGGCATTCCGAAGGAGCGAGGGAAAGCCGCACAATGGCATCCACGCGCGCCGCGACGCTCACGTCGCCACGTAGCGTTGCACGCCGACAGAGACGCCGGTAGGTGCGTCCATGTGTGTGCATAATTGCGGGTTTCGGCGTTTTTATGACGGCCTGTGATGATCGCATCGGCGTCGACGGACGCGGATGCGCGGCTAATAGATTTTTCTCTCGAGACCGATTCGCGCCGAGCGTCGCGCTCTCGCAACCGTCGAGTTTCCCCTGACCAAGTGGAGCACGTTGACGAGACGTCGGTGCAAGAAAGATGCCTCGACGTAGCTTTGAACAACGAATGAACAACCATAATAGATTTTTCTTTCAAGACCGATTCGCACCGAGCGTCGCGCTCTTGCAACCGTCGAGTTTCCCCTGACCAAGTGGAGCACGTTGACGAGACGTCGATGCGAAAAAGATGCCTCGACGTAGCTTTGAACAACGAATGAACAACGATAATAGATTCTTCTCTCGAGACCGATTCGCGCCGAGCGTCGCGCTCTCGCAACCGTCGAGTTTCCCCTAACCAAGTGGAGCACGTTGACGAGACGTCGGTGCGAGAAAGATGCCTCGACGTAGCTTTGAACAACGAATGAACAATGATAATAGATTCTTCTCTCGAGACCGATTCGCGCTCTCGCAACCGTCGAGTTTCCCCCAACCAAGTGGAGCACGTTGACGAGACGTCGATACGAGAAAGATGCCTCGACCTAGCTTGGAAGAACGAACGCGAAACGGCCATTAGTATCGATACCTCCGATTAGGTCGAGGGAGAGCGAAGAAACGAAATCGCGACCGAACCGCTCAAAACCCACCGGGCGTCCTCGCGTTGGATTACAAAATGGACGGTGGACGTTCCTGCACTGCCGGTAGCAACGAGCCAACGACGTCTATCTCGAAAGACGGGGAAAAAAGTTAATTCGAAAGGTGCGTCACGAGCAAGGGGAAGGAAGATCCTCCGGCATTCCTATCGTTCGCGGCCCCAAGGACAGTATTTCCGTGGCGAAACGTCAATCCGCATCCCCGGCGCGAGGCGGCCTCCACTTTCCGATAAAACGGTGGAAAACTAACCGACTGTCCACAATCGCGTCCATATTACGTTCGAGGTATAGATGCAAAAAGCGCGGTATAAAAAAAATAAAGAAGTGTAAAAAGCGAACGGCACGAGGCAATCTCGACCCGTTGTCCTGTCGGCGATACGCCGTCCTAATTTGGACTTGTATTAATTGCGCGGGTGAGCTCGTGAACGGCGGGCTCGAATTTGACAAAGGGCCGACGACCCAATTTCGCAACCGGCGACCGAAAGCTCCGAAAGTGGAGTCCCAAGGGCGTCCACGTGACGAGGGATTTTTCCAACGATCCGAATTTCGAGCCCGCCGCGTCGCCGGGCGGAAACCCGATCGGCGGACTTTCGCGATATCGGGCGCACGTTATCGGGCGAGCGTTATCGGACCGGCGTCGAGGGTAATCGATATCGGCGGTCGCGTGCGATTCGCGCCGAGCATTCGTCGATTCGCGCCGATCTCGCGGCGATAGCGACTTCCGCCCGAACTTCCGGCGTCCCCGCCCCGCTCGCGCACGCCTTCGTTAGCGGCCGATAGACCGCTTCCGGCTCGTTTAACGCCGAGCCGATTCCGCCGATCGCCGCAAACCGAGCGTGCTTCCTCGAGCGATCGGATTGTCCCCTCCACCTCGGGGACCGGCCGGAAGTGCTCCATCGACTCTCTCTCCCTCAAAAATAACAAAAGAGATCAAAACAGGATTTGGAAAGTGCCGGCCAAGCCGGAAGCGATCATCCGCCAGGCGCGAGAATCAAGGAACTCCGGCCGAGGAACGTCGAGGACGACAATTTCAATTTTCCAATACCGATTGCCACTCTTCGACTCGGGATTCAACGAGCCGTTCGACCTCTCCGAGCTCAATGAATGAAATTCCGTATGGTAGGCGACGAGGCTCGCCATTGACCGACCCGTCGAGTGCACCGCGAGCGATCGATGGATCGATCGATCGTGACGATCGCGCCACCCTGCCACGTGGGCGGATCGAGAACGATTTATCCGCCCACGCGTCGGGAGTACTCCGAGACCTGTACGCGCTCGAAATCGAGAGACCATGGAGAGATCTCGAGGTCTTGGGGTCGTGCGCCTACAGGGCGCGGCAAGGCAGAGCTTAGCGATCGGTAAATGCTGCGGAAACGTTAGGGCAGGGACAGGTGGGCTCGGCTTTGCCGAGCCGTGAAATAAATAAGCTCAAGAGTCGATCCGGTCGATCGCCCCATCGATTCGACCAACGGAAACCGTCCGTCCTGGTAATCCATTTCTAGCAAAAACGATCGAGCGAGGTCACCGCGGGTGAACGTTAGAACAGCCCATTTATCGATATCACGGAAAACCGATTAATCGCGCCGTTAAACGAGTCGGCGCCGTCGCTGGATCTCGACTTCCCCGACAAAATCTTGGTACCATTCCTCGACCTGGACAGCAAAAATACAACGATTTCTCCCCGAACCATGCTCGTAACGAATACTTCGATCTAAAACTCGATCCGAATTCGATCTACAAAGCCGATCCGTAGATCTGTAGGAAATCGTCTCGTTGGACCAGCGGACGCGAGACGATTCCAAGTAGCCGCGATTTCTGCCGATTTCTCAGGTGGTAATTATACAGGTCGTGTATCGCGTGAACAGAAGTCGATTCGTTCGGCTCGACTCGGCCAGGGACCATTCCTTCAACGTTCACCCGACCGTTGGATGGGACTCGCGGGCTGGATCGAGATCTAGGCCGAGGTCAGGGGTGCACGAGGTCGATTCCTCGGGTCCCTCCTCCGCGGACGGCGCGAGCTCGAGCGACGAGGACGGACCATTTCGCGCGACTCCTAAACACATCTACAGACATCGGTACGCTAGCAGGATCGCATTAGTCTAGTCTAACCTAAAAGGAAGAGGACGGCGAGGCAACGACCGCCGCTACCGTGCGCGCCGATCGCGCGCGATCAGCCGCGACAGACTCGATACCCACGCGTGATCGAGTCGCGATCAAGTCCCGATCAAAATGCGATCGAGTCGCGATCGACTGGCGATCGAGTTGCGATCGAGTCTCGATCGAGTCGCGATCGAGTCCCGATCAAAACGCGACCGAGGAACATCGAGTTCCGATTCCGCGTTAGCATCACCGAGTCGCGATATGGGGGGCCGAAGCGAAGACGAGGAACCACTGTGACGGGGATGGGCAACGTCGCGTTATCTTCCAAAGGTGCAGGTCCGACGTGCAAAACTAAGCACCGCAATGGGGCCGATCACTTGCGCCCGAAAGAGCAAGACACGCATCAGTAACGAAGAATTTCGCCGGCACAGGTCGGCCACTCCTGCGCGTCCATCCGACGTTCTCGTCGTATACGTCGTCCGACTTCGAGATCTACACTCGGTGAGCAGCATTCGTATGTAAGTGTTCCACGAGGTTCCCCCTCCGGAGCCGGCAGGCCCCGCGATCGCGGAGAAAGGAGAATGGCACTGATAGAAAGTGTGCCCGCGTGGAAAGTATGGTAGAAAGTCCCGCTCGTACTCGCTGCGCCGGAATCGTGTTTGAACTTCTAAGGGAGAGTGAAAAGCAGCGGCTACGGGTGGCCATAAAACGAAATTTTGTTGGTCGTGCGGCTATCTCGAAAGGTGGCGAAGGTGGGTCCACTGGGCCCTCCGAAAACGACGCTGCTCATCCCTGATAGCGATCGGTAGCGATCGGAGCGTCGGAATTGGGGCGCCTCTTCTCCCGGCAGCATCGATCAGCGATCGATCCCCAATAGGCGAGCCGTGCGTTCGTCGCAGTGGCCATCGTCCGACCCCAGGCGACCCCCATTATCTTGTCCTCTGCCCCCGGTTCAAGGGTCGGTCTTCAAGATGTTCCCCCACGTGCATCGTCAGAAGCGCATCCCTGGTGAATTGGTTCGTCCCATGCCCCCGAAGCGCAGGATTCGAGGTTCGACGTTCCTCTTCCGACCGTTCCCAGCCGATCCCATTTTCTGCCAGGATTCCATCCTCGGGGAGCCAGACTCCAAATAGTCATTGCGCACGCGTAGTCCATCGCCCGGCGGCGCCAGGTCGCCTTCACTCTTCGGCCTGCAGCAGCGTGCGAAAGTCCTGCTGCAGCTTGGACTCGTGGTAACTCCAAATATCGGCGAAGTCGTCACCATCGGCAAAGGCGGCCTTGTCCTCGTGCGCCGCGGCGCTGGGCGACGACGAGTAGAACTTGATCTCGAGGTCCCTGTGCCCATTGGGCGAGGTGACGATCTCCGTGGAGACTTCAAGGCCCTGCGAGGGGATCGTCGTCGGCGACGAGGGGAAGGACTGGTCGGCAGGGATCACCCCCAACGCGGAGGCGTTGTCCCCTCGCCAAGTGCTCCGGGCACCTCTGGTGGTGTCCAGCTGCCCCCGGTCGCCGATGACCCCAACGTCCCTACTGGGCTGGAGGATCTCCTCCCCGAAGTAGCTGGTAGGATCGCTCCAGCTGCGCCTGAGGAGCACGTCGGAGTGTTGGGGTCTGGGAGGAGGCTGGCTGGGAACCGCGGCCTCCTCGAAGAGCTCCAGCCTGTGGGCCCGCTCGTGGCCCGGGGGTCTGGAGAGGAACATCGGCGCGGCCTGGTACCTGGCCCCGCCGTAATCGCCCTGCGCGGGCGGCGGGGGCGGCGGAGGCGTCAGGAAGGGCGAGTATCCGTTGCGGTCAACGTCCCAGATCAGACCGGAAGGATCACAGTATCGACACTGGCAGGAACCGAGGCCGTCGGCGATCTCTTCGTCGCAGCCGCTGGCCTCGACGAGGTCATGCAGCAGCCGGGCCGCAGCGGCCGCCGCAGCCGCGGCCGCAGCGGTCCCCTGACCGGGTCGGTGCTGGTGGTGGGCGACGAACTTGTGCCCGGCGGTGGCGACGCCGGCATGGCCCGCGATCATGTTGCCGTTCACCGGCAACACGTTGCGGTTGCCGTCGAGCACTTTCACCTGCACGTGGTGGTGATGATGGTGATGGTGGTGTCTATGGTGGTACCGCTGCCTGGTGTCGGCGATTTCCTGGGCCGTCTGGACGCGCCCGTATCCATCCCTGCCGACAGTCGGAGGGCGCCGATGCGGACCGCGATGAGTCGCTGCCGCAACGGCCTCGTATCTGTCGAAACAGGCCGGGACGTAAGGCTTGAGAGTGACGACGTTCGACTGGTCCGATATCATCCCACCCTGCTCGTCCTGCTGCTTCGCACCTCCGGGCCCACCTCCGACCGGCATTCCGACGCCTTCGGTCCCCGCGTTCGGCGGCTTCCGGTCCTTCTTCCGCCGCTTCCGGGGCTTGATGATGCGCGGCAGGCTATTCTCCGAGTTGTTCGACCCGGAGCTCTCGTCGCTGGCGATGCTCAGCGAATCGATGTTGGCGATGTTGCCCGGGCCGGGGGTGGGGTCCTTTGCGCCCGGGGGAGAGTCCTTGGGGTTGAGGGGCTTCTTCTCGTTTCCGGCCATCGCGGGCCTGAGAGGTCGGGGGGGTTGGCACCTGCCGATACCGGGGTGGCCGGGCCCGGGGCCCGGGTTGGCCATGCAACCCTCGTTGCCCATCGACTTGGGGCGGCCGTGGAAGCGACCCGCCAGGACGAGCGGCGCGCCCTGCGTGTGGATGGCTAGCCTGGAAAGGGGACTGCCGTTCTGCAGGTGGCCCGGAAGCACCTGCTCCTTGCCGGCGACCTGCTGGTGCTGTTGTTGCTGCCCGATGGGGGACGGGGACGAACGCTGACTGCTTCGCCTTGGACTGGAGACCATGGAGATGAGAGGCGCCCCAGTCCAGCCGGCAGGCGGTGCATACTGCAGCTGACCCTGCTGCTGCTGCTGTTGATGCGATTGCTGTTGCTGCTCAATGGCCAGCTGCTGTTGGTAGCTCTGGGCGGCGAAACAGCGCGGCTTTCCGCGCAAGCCCTGCTCCGGGGACTTCTTGGCGACGATTTTGTGACCGCCCGGGGACCGGACGTTTGAGGATATCAGGCAGCTGCCGATGTACCGCTCCACCTCGAGGGCGCCCTGGGAAGCTGGGCTCATCGCGATGCCACCCGCCGCGACGCCTCCCCCTATGTTCGCTCCCGATGCGGATAAACGCCTTATCCCCTGGACCGGTCCTCCTCTATCCGACGTTTCTCTTAGGAAGCATCGTCCACGTATAGGAAACACCGAGGCCGGATGGAGCCGATCGACGCGCTACCTCATCTCGACCGCGGCGACGCGAACTCCGACCTCGGGGACACCCGACCGACGTCGGTCACCGATTGTGCGCGACTCGCGAGGGACTCGGCCGAGGACGACGAATCGCGAGTTAAAGGACCGCCACGCGGTGCGCGATGCGTCGCCAGGAACGAGCCAGGAACTGGGAGCTGCTCGCCGACCACCTCGCGATACCGCGGCCCGAGCGACACTGAGGCTCGTGCGACCGCGCGAGCCGACACCGTCTCCGCTAGACGCGACGTGGAGGTCCCATCCCCTCCACCTGGCCCTCCACCACCAGCGCCGCCGCGGCCCCTCTCCGCGCGCGCCGCGCCGCTGTACGAGATACTTAACCCCCGCGCGTTTATCACGCGACGCGGAAATATGTCACTTTGAGAGACAAAGTCATATGAGAGCCGAACCTTACGAACGTGACGATATTCGCTTGGAAAAAGACGGATACTCTGGGTTCGAACTGTGCGTACGTCGCGTACCTTTTATTGATCAAGGGAAGAAGCGGCCAAGGGGAGGATAGTCCGCAAACTTTTCGGAACTCGAGCCCAAAGAAATCCGAGGATGGAGTCTATGGCTTGATTTGACGCGTCCATATCCCTGAATATGGTGTAATGAGGATGTTGGTCCATGTTGGAAATCCGAAGAGCATACCCAAGTCGATTCGACGAACGGGGAGGTGTCACATCGATCGGGCTGGGGATTTAATGAGCTTTGTCCGAGTCAATGCAGAGTCTAAATATGAAGACACGTGTGTCTGAGCGGTCGCTCGATCGGTCTTAATTTTTGAGTTATTAATATTTGAAAATCTGTAGACCTTTCCGAAAATGTCGAATACTCCACAGGTGTAAACCAGTAGACACGAGTGTCCCTTGGTGCTATTAGTAGAGGGAATTTCCTAGGTCGTCGTTCTCGTTAATTCGGCAACGTGACTTTTCGCGACGTTTTGTGACGCATTGCGACGCTGAATGACGCTACGTGACGTTCCGCGACGTTTCGTGACTCTCTATGACGCTACACTGATAAAAATCAATGGAAATTGACATACGTTTTTACGTAATTCATACCTTAAGTTTCACATAGAAAGAACGTAAAATGGAAGACTTACGAATTAGAACGTGTATAGATACACCTAATGTTGTATATTTACCGTATTGGTGCGGTTTTACTCGAATTTAATGTAAAATTACATTATAATTTTCTATAATTTAACTTAGATGCTGATATTACAGAGACAATATAATTTTACTGTAATTTATCGTGGCATCGAAATAACCAATGATGGAGTATGTAAATTTACATGGGGGTTTTTATCAATGTACGTGAAGCACCATGATACGTTGCTTCGCGACGCACCGTGACAAAAAATGAAAATAACCATACCTAAAATAATCAGCTCCGAACGCTTAATGGCGTTTGCGAATGATTAATTAAGAGTAATTAAGAATATCCAATAATTTTCTTCAACTTTAAGGGTTTTCCCTTCCACCGCGGGAACTTTTATAAACGCTATTTAGTAACATTCCATTGACTCTTTCTTGATGGCTCCCCTGTCCCTTCCAACATGATAAGCAATGTCCTGCATTAAGGCGATGGGCGAGGGTTCCACCTTCTGGTCCATCGATTTTTATCAATTAAGAATATCCAATAATTTTCTTCAACTTTAAGGTTTTTCCCTTCCAACGCGGGAACTTTTATAAACGCTATTTAGTAACATTCTATTGACTCTTTCTTGATGGCCCCCTGTCCCTTCCAACGTGATAAACAATGTCCTGCATTAAGGCGATGGGCGAGGGTTCCACCTTCTGGTCCATCGATTTTCATCGACGACCCCCGGCAGGCCGGAAGTGTCGAGCCTGGACGACAGTTGAACAAAACTAAGGCGAAATGGAAAGTTAATCGCGGCGTTTCTGGCGCGAGGAGGCCGCACGCTCGCTCGGACGAGTCCCGGCGGAGAAAGCGCGTCGCGGCGCGAGAAAGGTGGGAACGCTCGGCGTCGGGAGGAGAGGAAATCGGCGTCCCGGACCGACACCCCCGCACCTGGACCACTTCCGCGGAAGTGGGCCACCAGTCGTCAATCGCCCAGGGCCGATAAGCGCTCGCCTGCTTAAGTCGCGCCCCTTGAAGTAACTCAATTTTTCACCCGAGATCAATCAGCGCCCTTCCGGCGGAAGTACTCTCGCCGGCTTCGAATTTCACCCGACCCCATCCGACACCGTTTCGACGGCTACGTGACTCGATTCCAGGATCGCGAGGGTATCACCTGGAATCCAGTGCCCGACAGGACCATCAACGGTGGGCTAATTCGCGCGAAGGAAAAAAAAAAAGGCGTAAAATAACTTGGTTAAACAATGGCGACCCGAATTCGGCCAACCGGTGGGTGAAAAAGTAGGTGAGAGGGATGAGTCAACGGCACGAGAGGTGGGCGGCGTTTCCGCCACGAAATGCCATCCTCCCGCGCCCGCGGTTTCCGGGGCACGACCTCCTTAAGCCATCGAATAGGAGACGCGGATCGAAATGACGATGCGGATAATCCGGACCGAGCGGAAATCGCGGAACGCGGCGAAGACGAGCCGGTGAAAGCGAAGAGGGCAACCGTGTCTCCGTTCGGGCCCGAAACCTGCGGTTTTCCGCTCGACTCTCGAGGATAATCGAGTCGAGGATGCGCCTCCGTCTTACGAAATGGTTTTCTCGAGGGGCTCGGTATCCTCGAGTCGGATGAACGGATGCGAGCCGCAGGTGCACGGCGTCGCCCCCGCACAGGTTTTCGGGGGCCATCCGGGAAACTTTCACGGGTGAATTTTTGCGTAACGCGGAAACCAGTGGATGCAACCAGTGGAACCGGTAGCCGACCGCGGGCAGGTGGAGAAACCGGACGGCAAAAAGCGTTCACGGTTATAGGCACGGTTTGCGGCCAGGTAGAAATCTGGAGCCCGGGGTATCTCTGGAAAAATTCCCCCGTCCACAGGGAAGAGTCCCTTTTCGGGCTCCACGCAGGAAGGGGGTTAATTTTCCCAATTTTGGCTGATAAAAAATCCTCGCGCAAACTGCGCGCCGCCTGACGTTTCGCCCGCAAGCGTGCCCGCGTCGCGTTTTTTCCAATTTATGGGCCCTTAAAAAATACTCGCCGCGCGTGCCGTTGTGTCCACCGACAGCGCTTCGTTGCATCCCGTCATTTCTGAAACGCATAGTGTAGGTTATGCGCGCGAGCGCATTACGAGCTCGATCATGGAGGGGCGAGACTGCACGTGCACCGAATTCGCGAGGCTACGATCCCGGGAGCCGACGCACAGCCCGACAATAATCTCTTAACGCAGCCCGAATTAGGTCCCGTCCAAACGTGCCGAACATCCCTTATGATAACACGACATAAATCGAAATCCCTGATAATGGGGAGTGCCGCACCGCATCGCGCTACTCCCAGGGGGTCCGCCCAACTCCGGAAGTAACTGCTATGACGTGCATTCCATTATACTGGGACTCGCGAAACTGCAATCCCGCGAATGCGGCGCGTACCGACGGGATGGCCGGTACAACTATCAACGCTGCGTTCCGAGTCCCGGTAACGAGAAATGAAATGCAAAAATCCTGCTTAAACTAGACACGGACCCACGTACCGCGCGTCCCGAGTGACGCTTGCGTTAATAAAACCATTTGGGCCACGCGCCCGCCCAGGGCGGTGGATTTACCTAACTCTACTTTTTTACCGTCTATGCAAATATGGAACACGCCGTTCGCGAGGATCCCGGGGACTTTTACGAACGATAAACCAGCCGCCACCCCCGATATCCCCAAAACGGTCTGTCGCGCCAGACTGGAAGCTAAATCGGCGTTCGAGAGAACCGGGGCTTCCTTGGTCCAACGAAGTCTCCTCTATCCGAAAATCGTAATTCCAATTAACGATCGTCCGCGTAAAAAATTGTATTTTATGGGACCAGACTATCCGACATCGAGCCTCGAGTAATTCGTTTCCACGAGTCGGCGGAAGTAAGCCGTTTAATCGATTTTAATTAAATTTCATTAAGCCCGGAGGATCGAACCAGCTCTGGGGGAAGCTGGGCTTCGGATCGAGCGGCGATCGAGTCCTCGGACCGTCCGAGGTGCCCTCCAGGATCTATTCTTCTACATTCTCGGGAATCTGTATTCTCTAAAGCGACTTCCGGGACAAGACTCGCGCCCGTGGGAACAGTGCCTATACAGCAAGAAAGGGATTTCAGGGAGGAAAACTATTTCGAATTAAGCTTACGCTGCTAAGTTTGCTTGCAAAGGCAAATGGGGGAGCTTATTCCGTCCCTCTCTGTCCCTCGCCCCGATTCGAGGAGCGTCGCTCCCCGCCCCGTCGAGAGGCAAAAAAGAATGGCCCCTCGCTCCGCGCTGTACGATCAAAGGCCAGGAAAGGAGCCCTGCATTATTGGATCCTCGCAATTCTTCGTTTATTCGCGACCTCTTCGGCTTTGGACGGAAGAAACGACTCGGCGACGGTCGAACGGCGAAGCGATCTCGAGAAGAGAGTGCGCCTCTCCGGGTGGAGTCGCCGCTTCTTTCCTCCCCAATGGAGGGGTGCGAACTCGCAATTTACGCCCGCCGGGAAAGAAACGTCCTTTACGCGCCACCCTGGGACGGCCAGGAAAACTATGCGACATTAACTGGCTCAAGTGGAGCGCGAATGTCGCGCGAAATCACGGAGGCGCCATATTTGCCGCTAGAGATAAAAGTCCGACGAGGCGCGAGGCAATTACGTCGCGTTCCTCCTCGATTGTCGGGAAGGAGGGTCTATAGACTGCGTATGAAAGGAGCGTGCCTCGCGACGTTTCGATTCAGGCATGGCCGACTTGTCGTGGAGTTGCACCGCGGGATTTGAAACCGACACACAGGTGAGAGGTCGACTGGATCGCTTCGACGCGTCAGGTGTTCGTAACGCCACGGGATGAGAGTCGGATCGACCTGGGGCGGAAGTGTTCCCTGAAAGTCGAACGGCTCTGGCGAGAATTCCGAGTGGCAATTATCCTCGAGGCCGACTTCAGCTCCAAGGAGGGCTAGAGAGGGTGGAGTCCCGCCGAATTTATTCCGCGAGTCCATTACTTTTTGCCCCGGTTCATTAGGCTCCTCTCTCCTCACCTCGAGAGAAACGTACGAGAGCTTTCGGGGGAATTTAAAGAAAATC